CAGGAAAATTTTTAGAAGTTAATTTGTCTACTTTTTGCATGTTATTAGTCTATACTCTTTGGTGTATTATTTAATGAAATAAAAATTGTTAAGTGCTTTACCATAATCGCTAAAAAAAATACAGGCTTAACTCTACTTGACAATCAAGGGCAGGAAAAACTAAGATTGGGTAAGTACTTTATTTCTTGTTTTTCAAATTTATTCTTTATTTATTTATTATTATAAAAGTAACTAAAATTAAAAGTATGTATCTTTTTAAGTTATTTATGACTAGAATAGGTGAAATAAGTAATAATAATAATAATATAATTAAAATTGTTCACAAAGCACGCGAGCAGCTCATGGGTAATGTAATTCGATAGCATAACACGAGCTGCACGTTCCCCGAATAATTTACAACTTATAATGGCACAGATAGCAGTTAGACACGGTTCAAAGGGCATTAAAAAACTAAATTTAATTATTAGTAGATGTATAATGTTACGAATTTAGAGCTACGTAGGATAAATGAATGTAGTTTCATGTTACCATCTGAAGTCATACTAGAAAGAAAAGAAAGTTAATTTAGGTTTATTTCAATTTTTTTTTGGTGGTTACAAGGTCAGTCGAATTGACCGATGCTGTTTTGAGATTAGGGTAGAGAATATAACATATATAAAATATAAGGATTTAGTGAAAAAAAAAAAACGTTTGAAATGCATTTAGCAGATTTTTGAGATGAAAGTATTTTTTATTTTAACAAGAAAAATACTTTGCATAAGGACTATTCAAAACAAATACTCAATACTCAGGGCACATGCAGCTCATGTTATGCTATCGAATTATGTTATCTACATGCTGCTCGCATGTGCCTTGTGAAACATATTTATTACATTATTATTTATTTTATGTAATCTAATCTTAACTAACCTAAAAATCCCTATTTTTACATTTTAGTTATTATAATAGTAAATAAAGAAGAAACATGAAAAATAAGAAACATGTTGCTTATCTAATCTTTTTTTTTTCCTTGCTGTTAATTTTCAATGAAACTTAAGCCTACATATTTTATACTAATGGTTGTAGTACATTAAATAATTTTTATTTAATTAAATAATGTACCAAAGAACATAGATGAATAACATGTAAAAAAGCACACAATTTCCCCTAACTCTAAAAATTTTTCTTGCTTTCTAACTATACGACAAGACCCGTTGCAAATTCATCCAAGCTAGTCATTAACTTTCCCATGGGAATGAAGCTTGTACTCTGAGTGAAATAGATGCATATCTGTTCAGAACTAAACGTCATACAATACGTCATTTGTTAGATGAAAACCTCATCTTTCTATTGGTTATAGGTAATATATACTTAAACATAAAAGAGAACTATTAACAAAGCCTGCAAGAGAGGATGTAGGTGTGGCAGAAGGGGTGTGATTTTCTATTTATAGCTCTGTAATCAAACAAAATTGAAGGCTATAATAATTATGGTTTATTTGAGCAGTGACGTTTCTATAGAGTAATTTATGTTTATTTAATTTGTACTTTTTGAAGGGGTGGTGGATAAAATAGAGAAGACAAGATGCCTAGAGAAAATATGTCACACTACGGGAAATTCAGGATGTTTTTTAATATTGCCTTGTAGAATTAGGAAATTAAAACTTGTATACTATTAAAATATGAATTATTAACTTCAGTTTTATGTTATACTATTTGGTGTAACATAAACAAAAAGTAGTTTAATAAAATTTTGAATATAAGACACAAACTTTCTGTCATGCATAGTAAAGGATACCTGGGACGAAGGGTTAATCTTTACAAGTCAGAATGTAAGATAATTATACTTATTTAGATACACTCTTCACCAGGTTGAATTTTAGTATTGTTGTAAGTAGGTATCTTGCTCTGATCAAAGGTTAATATTAATTGTTCATTGCAGTATTTTTCAACCTATTTTAAGTTGTAATTATATCACTATTTGAGAGAGCTGATAAAATGCTACAAATTCCTGAATGAAATAACTACACATTTTACACTCACAAAAATGATTTAATGAAAACAATAATAAAAACAGAATACATCTGTAATCCATCCATTGTATTCATCAAAATTAACTTCTTTTAAACTTGATCTTAAAACAGTACAAATGAAAATTAGTACTTTAATTCCATCTAGTCTTAAGTAAAACATTTTTGTAGTTTTAAATTTTTTTAAGTGATTTTAGATGAAAAAAAAGAATATTTTACTTTTGGAGAAAAGAAGAGCCAAATCTCAGTATGTACCATTGCATATGTGTATCATATTAACCATCTCTTCACAAACTAGGTCACCTGAATGATTCTGCATCTGTGAAGCCATATATAACAATATTTATCATAATTCTAAATGTACTATATTCCTCTTCATGAAAGTTAGCAAGATATAGTAAACATTACAAGTCTACTGTACAAAAAAATACAATGCAATGAAATCAAGAATGTTAAGTGACAAGGAGAAAGATGTGAAATAGAATTAATAATACCATTTTTACCTCTACACTGACTGCAGTTTTGATCACGAATATCCAAATTATTTATTTTAACAGTTTAAGCTTTTCACATCTGCTTCCTTCTAATTTTTATGGTTTTTAGTGCTGTAGTTTGTACCAACTGAAGCAGTAATGCTCACATCAAAATTAATAAATCACAGCATTATTGGCAATGTGCACAGCAAACATAGTGTGGTAATAACATACTGTTATTATACACTTTTCTAACTCTTGAAAATCCCTTAGAAACTAGATATAGAATGCTGAGTTAAAAATATAATAGACAAGTAAATGAATTATAATCATGCTTTGCCAGCTTCAAGAAGATATTCATACCATAACAACAGTTGTTGTAACAAATGTCTTATATAAGTAGTGTTCTGATCACTACTATGTTTGTTGTGTACCAGCTGGCTTGATGAGCTTTGAATTGAATGAAATGTGTCATTGGCATGGGATACAATAAATACATTGGTTGCAATATTATTACTACACACTTTTCTAATTCTTGAAAATCCCTAAGGGACTAGATATAGAATGCAGAATTAAAAATATAATAGGCCTAATACTAATGTCTAATGACAAGTAAGTTAATTATAATCATGCTTCACCAGCTTGAAAAAAAAAATACACACCATAATAATTGTAATATGCTTGTATATTAAGTTACTGAAACTTCCAGGTGTTAATTTTTATTAAATCATCAAATCTTCTTCCTTTGAAGTGCAATACAATTTCAACAGTCTTAAAACTTACCACTATTTGCAGCTAACATGTCAATCATTCGACCAGGGGTACAAACTATAACCTCAGCACCTCGTTTTAGTTCAGCAATCTGTTCCGAGATACCTGTGCCTCCATAAACACACACAGCACGTAGTCCCAAACTTTTTGTGAACTTTTTACATTCTTTTGTTATTTGCATAGCAAGTTCTCTGGTGGGCGTCATTACTATTCCTGAGGAATAAACACACAAAGATTAATCATAATTTTATCATAACAAAAGCAGCATAATACACATTCTAATTCTTCCCTTTGTTTTTTGCTTTGATTTTTTCAATTATTATGCTTTCCCATCTGACATTCAGACTGAGTTTCCAATACAGTGTAAGAGTAATTTTATAAAACAAGTCCACACAGTGCTATATTGCTTAGTAATATCTACTAAAAATACCCTAGAAAATTTCATTTGAAATGTATTTTTTGCTAATGTATAACATTCAAAAATAATTTATAATCAAAAGGTTCAATAACCCAGTTGGTTGTTATACCTTAATTAAAACCTGATTAATTTTCTAGAATTATAATACCTAGGAGATTAGTTGTTAATTAAAGTTGAGTAATCAAACTTTGCCTATATATAGCACTCATACAATTATTCAAACCAAACAATACAATGTTTAGTCTAAACTACAGAGTATCATTGCAAATACTTCTTGAGATCTGTTGTTTTACAGTAATAAAGAAAATTAAGCATCTGATGAGTATTCATAAAAACATGAAAGCACTTTTAAAAATAACAAAAAAAAATTCACTGTTTCATAACAAACAAACTTCAAATTGTTTAACTTAAGGAAAAAAATCAACAAATTTGTTTTATTAAAAACACAGATTACTATTACTTTGCTACTAATCACTTCAATAACATTTACTGTTCTACAACTAATCACTTTTATAATATCTACTCTTACTAGTAACCACTATTCTGCTACTTATTGCTTTGATGACCACAACTCCGCTACTTTAACATTACTATGATGTCACAATTATTTTGTTACTGTAACATTAATTTTGATATAACTACTATTGTGCTACTTATTACTTTGATAACCACAACTTTGCTACTTCAACATTATTTTGATGTACCTACTACCCATGCTATTTGTGGCTTTGATAATGTGCAACTAATACACTGCTTCTTATTGCTCTGATAATGAGAACTCTGCTACTTTAACATTACTTTAATGTAACTATTACTCTACTAATTACTTGGATAACCATTACTTTACTACTTTAACACTACTTTTATGTGACTAATACACTGCTTTTTTATTGCTCAAAATAATGAGAACTCTGCTACTTTAAAATTACTTTGATGTAACTATTACTCTACTAATTGCTCTTATAACCATTACTCTGCTATTTTAACATTGCTTTGATGATGTGTTATTAATTCTTACCCTAAAACCTGATATGTAAGTGACTTAAATAAATATTCATAATAATTACAATTCAGTTGCTTAATTCTACATGCATGGGGTTGGTCCATTAGAAAATTAATGTTTATAATGTTTACTATAATTTCAAATTTACAAAATGCTATTGTTTATTATCAAGCACAAAGCTACACAAAGGGCTATCTGTGCTCTTCCCACCATGAATATCAATATCCAGTTTATAGTTAAACAAAATGCATCTTCACGAAATCTGCCAAGCTTTCAGTAAACATAACAAGTATTTTGTAAACAAAACAAAAATCAATATTTATAAAATAATTTCGATTATAGTTTCATCTGTGAATTTACTGAGTGTCAGGTGATTTTCATATAAAAAATTCTTTTTTTCCATCCAACACTTTTCATATTTCATCTGAATAACCACTAAAACCTCCTAAAAGAATATAAAAATATATATATGCACACACACACATATATATATATATACATACAATTCCTAAAACACTATTATGTCTGTCATATCCCTGCTGACTTGATGAGCGCTAGTATCGGATGAAAAGCCTTGTCAGCACTGAATATAGCAGATGTAGTATAACTGACATATTATAAAATATTCTTCTTTACTTTCACTTATGGAATCTTAGAATAACTACTAATGTGTTACTTTTCACTCTCATATGCACTACTCTACTACTTACTGCTCTGATAACCATTACACTGCTACTTTCTTTACTTTCACTTATGAAATCTTAGAATAACTACTAATGTGTTACTTTTCACTCTCATACGCACTACTCTACTACTTACTGCTCTGATAATCATTACACTGCTACTTTCTTTACTTTCACTTATGGAATCTTAGAATAACTACTAATGTGTTACTTTTCACTCTCATACGTACTACTCTACTACTTACTGCTCTGATAACCATTACACTGCTACTTTCTTTACTTTGATATAACTATTAATCTCATACATACTTTGACAGATATTACTCTGCTACTTATTACTATGATACTCACTGTTCTGCTACTTTACCATTACATATATGTAACTATTATTCTGCTACTTGTTACTTGGACATATATTACTCTGCTCCTTTAACATTACTTTGATGTAACAAATCTTCTAATATTACTATTTTAACAGCTATAACTCTGCTACTTTAACATAATTTCAATGCAACTATTATTCTATTACTTATCAATTTGACAGCCATTAAACTTCTACTTATCTCTTTGACAGCCTTTATTCTGAGCTAGTAATTGGCAGAATAATAGTTAATCAGAGTAATGTAAAGTAGCAGAGCAGTGGTTATCAAAGCAATAAATAACGGAATAAAAATGGCGTCAAAGTGATAAGTTGCAGAATAATACATCAACCCAATTTTAAAGTAGCAGAGTAGTGATAACTGTTATTCTGCCAATAACTACTCTGATAACTATTACCATATTTTCCGGTGTATAAGACGCACTTTTTTACCCCAAAATTTGAAGTCAAAATCTGCTTGTGTCCAATACACCGAAGGTATGAATAATATATATGTGTATATAAACGATATACACAAGCCATGTGTAAATATATTTAAATAGGCATGCATAGTTTAGTTCAGTTGAATGTGTTATTTATAACAATAGTAGTTTTTTCTTTTAAAAACAACTATTTATAATGCTCCCTAAATAATAAAAAAAATAAATTACATTGAAAGCAATGAAGATTTTGTAGGTTTTGAACCAAACTAAATAACAGTAAACCTTTATTTTTGAGTTACGGTATTTTCTTATTTTGATGTTTTGAGCTCTTTTGTGTTTAGAACAATATATACTAATTTTTAAAGTATTAAAATTAATTTTTGTTCAATAAAAATCTTTCAAATATGACTGTAGCTTTTTTCCCCCCAAAACTTTGTCTTCAAAATAAAGGTGTGTCTTATATTCCGAAAAATACGGTACTTTACTACTTGTAACTTTGACAGCCATCACTACTGTTCTACTTATCATTCTGTTAACCATTACTTTACTACTTTAACATCACTTTGATGTAACAGCTATTCTGCTACTTATCACCTTGACAAACTACTCTAAACTACTATTTATCACTGTGATAACTATTACTCTGTTATATTAACATTACTTTGATGGAACTATTATTCTACTACTTAACGCTATGATAACCATTATTTTGCTACTTAAATATTTTTGTTATACTGGTCCAATCAAAATAATGATGAATAGTCCAAGTATCAATTTGAATAACTGGTTTATTAGCCACCCATACAAAATATATCACTTTCCCAAACAATATGAGACTCAGGCCTAACTATTCAGTTTTTATACAACACAATCAAGTTGATTTTCCGATACTGGACTTACGAAAGCTTCACTTACGGTGCTATATATCTAAATCTTAATCAAAACTGATAATGTAAAATTTTATCAAACAGTGATAATGCATACAGTGCCCTCTCTCCAAAATCATTTCCAAAATAAACAATTATAGTACAAAAGTTTTTCACAAATAATAACATAATTCAAATACACAAAAATATTATTTGAATTATTCACAAAACTGTCCCCTGCCCAAATTTCAACTGAGTCAGTGAAATTTAAAATATATAAATAAAACAATTCACATTGTTCATAATGTCCATTATTCACTCCCAATCAAACCAGTGAGGTTATCTTTGCTTTTGAGTAGAACTTATTTGAAGCACTTGGTTTTTCATCTCTCGGAGAGTTGAAGTGATTGTATATGTTTTTGAGCAATGGGCACTGTCTTCATCAAGGTCACCTGGAATGTCAGCTCCTTTGACACTTCCCTGACCTCCAGTGTTTCTGTTCCAAGTGTATGTCCCACCACCTAAGTATCTTGGCCTCTATTGATAGCTACCATTCATTGAGCACATGACATCTGAAAGCTGGATACTTTCCTTTCTTCTTTTGAGAGGTATGAAACCAATATTAAAGTAATGTGAATTTGGCTTGATATTATAGTGTTACTTACTTGCCTTTCTGGCTAAGCTGAGAGTCTCTCTCTCTTACATGTCGGTATACTTCTGCCAGTTGTTTCTGCAGATTCCTCTCATTGTTAGTACTATTATCTGGCATTCAGTGGTCTCTTAATGATCAAATCTACTGATAATCAATGTTCTCGTCCCATTATAATCATGGTGGGTGTATAGCCTGTAGTTTCATATGTACAGTAGTCCTTTAGGCTATGAGCAATGCTTGTAATTTCATATCCCAACTGATATGATATTCTTCACTAAACTTGACAATTTTGTGGTTGAATCATTCCTTCTAACTGGAAATGTGATAGTGTTATGCTGGTTTTATTTATGTCCAGTTACTACCAGCATTCCTTAACCCTATGACTACCAGCCACTAATTTATTAGTAAGTAATGTCACTCGTCATATTTAGTGCAAAAATAAAACTAGTGAATGAAATAGTTTAAAATTTGGCCAGAACATTCCTAAACATATGTAGTTTCAGAAAAATAAAACATTTAATTTAGATTTTTTCTACTATTTCTAATAAAGAAATTTATTTAACTCTCATCATAGGCTCCATTGATTTAACTGACCACATGACCTCTTTGTACTAATTTAGTCTTTATAGACTTGATACTACTAATTTTTAATATAGTATGTATATCTTCATAGAATTTGGTAGTCTTTCAGTAAACATTATAAGTCTTTCACATACAAAAAATCATATCTTTAGTGAGATACTTTAATTAGATTAAAAAAGGATTTGTGCATGAATATATTGAGTATTTG